TCGGACTTTTTATTGTGTTGTTATTTTTTTTTTTATTCAAGTTTTTTTTATTAAGTTTTCCAAATTTTTACATACAAACAAAAACAAAATACCCAAATAACCCCCCTCCCCTCCCATACAGCACTGATTAACTCAAAACCACTCACCACCACCATTCATAATAACTTCTAAACAAGCTATCCAACCACTTTTACATCTTTTTACCAATAAAAAACAAAAATTCATTCCAAGTTTCAAAATATGAGTCCTTTTTTCCCTTCATTTTAGCAATTAATAGTTCATAAGATGCAATCTCCGTCATCGTTATTATCCAGTCTCTGTAAACAGGTGCCTCAGAGCTTTTCCATTTACGCAATATAACTCTAGCTGCTGAAATGAAGCCTGTAAGAGCTAGGGCCCCTGCCGTTGTAGATATATTCGGTACACACGACAAGTCTATTGTGTTGTTATTGATATTTGTTGTCCCTCGGGATTGCTGCAGGAGGACACGGGTATTTATGAGTGGTGGAGGAAGACGAAAGTAAATAAATGTTTTGTGATCAGTATAATTTGACAAAACCACAGCAAACATGCTTTCTCGACAATCCTTGTTATTGTGTGAGAAAAAAAGTGTAGACATTAAAACGGACGTGTGTTAATAGGGAAACAGCCGGCGAGCTGTTTGCACATGCGCCGTGAGCGGTTCTGGTTCTGTTTGGGCCGCAGCCGCTCGCAGCGCTACTTCAACAGTTATCCTCCTAGTTTTTTTCTTGCTTGCAGGCTAGTAGATTCTCGCACGAGGGGAAAATCGGCTCAGGTTGTATACTTATTTTTTGCACAGGCATTTGTTTACTGTGAAGTAAAGTTGAAGTGCTGAAGTTTTGCAAACTAATTTTGAATAAAACTTGAAGAATAACTGGCAATTGCTCATTTTAAGAGGTCTTTCATATTTAACATTCTATTTGATTTAATGGTTTACAAACACAAAAGGGTAATTTATTAGAGTACTCGATTAATCGAAAAAAAGATTCGATAGAGTACTCGATTACAAAAATATTCGATAGCTGCAGCCCTAGTCCCTACACCCCCAGCAGGTCCCTGAGGTCCAGTGATCAAAGCCTACTGGTTGTGCAGCACCAGGCTAAAGACCAAAGGTGCCAGATCATTTGCTGCTGTGGCCTCCAGAGTCTGGAACTCTCTCCCCCTGAAACTGAGATCAGTGGACTCAGTGGTCTCCTTCAAAAAACAGCTGAAGACTCACTTGTTCAAGCTGGCTTTTGTATGACCTTCTTCACCACTCTCTCTTTATTCTGCTCTCCCCACCTATTCCACCTTCCTCAGGATCCACTGATTTCCCTCTTTCCTATTCACTCTCTCTCTTTCTTAACATTTTTTCTTTTAAATCGCAATTGCTTATTTTTGCTCATTTTAAATATATTTTTAAACATTTTCTAAATGCTTTTTTATATTTTTACATTTTCTTTTTATTTTTTGTTTTTGTGAAGCGCCTCGTGATTTTTATCTTGAGAGGTGCTATAAAATGATATTTTCTTCTTCTTCTTCCTCTTCTTCTTCATCAGGGCACTCGAGGCGGTAACCCCCAAACTGAAGGAGTGGATAAAGCAGACCCCGGGAAAAACATCAGACATCTCAGTCCAGAAAAGTGCAGTTCTAGGAACAGCTGAGATGCTGCTGAGATATATATTATATTTAAATTGGCTTGAGTGCAATGTGTCTGCATATTATTCAGTGATTTCATTTGCTTTTATTATATAGACACTGTTTTCAGGTAAAAAATACCTAAAGCAGCATTGACACGTTTAAAAAATCCACTTATTTTAGTGTCAGACCCTGTGTTTCTGTTTGTGAGATCTTGTATCTACACACTGTGTCCTGAGCTATTCCAAGGCTTCAAACATCTGCGGTCCTACCAAGGGAACCACGGTGCTGATAAGCGTGTCTAAGTATAGCTCTAATGATAGGCCACATGCAGAGACAGTTGAGGGTAAGAAGGATAAAAGTCAACTCAAAGTCAATTCACTCCACCTGACAGCTTCCTGACACACGCAAAGGCAGAACTATAAAAACAGCTCTGCTGAAAGAGACCTTGTTTGTGCATCTGAAGAACATTCATTTAGGAAATGCCGGAAAATTACAAGCAAGCAAAACGCCTATTGGCAAAAGTTTAATCACACAAAGTTATTTGTTCATGATCTGGGGAGGTGTTTAACACCCACTTTGCTCTATGCTGGTGTCTCAGTCTGCGGTTTGTACCACTGTCAAATAAATGACTCCACTGGGGCTGAAAATACCTCTTTTAATGATGACGAAAGCACATTTAAACACTTATCTTCCTCCAGGGAGCCCCTCACAGGCACCATGCTGTCTTGGAATGACCACAACGTGCACAGCAATCAGAATTCTGCGTTTTCACAAATAGCTACACTGGACATAAGAATCTCAAACCGGAAAGCCCCACACAGTAGACACACTGGAGTTTGGGTGGTCTTTAAACATCCATTGCATGGTGTAGATGATCAGCTGTTGCTGCAGGGACTCAGTCTGTAAACACACCCTCAGCCAAGGTGGCGCACTAAGATCTTTGCCAACAGGTGCCTGAGGCACACACAAACACAGATCTGCATGTGTGTGAGCATGTGAGCATCCACACCCTGACTCTGGTGAAACCACAGGAGTTCATCTCACTTACACTACAAGGAAATCAGACATGCCTCAGCCTAATGAGAAGCCACAGTGATTTACCCCGTCTGGGCTGTGAGAGATCACAGCTTAAAATGGAACGCACATGCATACTCAGACACCATGGCAAAAGCTTGACTGACAGCAACTTCAGCTGTGGTAGAAAATGATGTGCGGCTGCATAAAACCCCTGGTTAAGTTTTAACTCCTATCCTGTCTGCAGAAACTTTACGACAGCGTGAGTCATCCTCAGTTGTCCTTGAATCATGCAACATGTGCAACACGTTATCTAGAAGGCAGAGTTCCCTTTAAATAATTAAGCCTTGACAACCCCAGAATTGTTATATAATTACAATCGTCTTATGTGCTTATGACATTAAAGAAGTATTAACATCATCCATGGTACAGTAATTGTTTTCAGAGCATATTAGGACTTCAGGGGGTGATGATGCCAGAAAACATGGCTTCTTCTGGCTCCCTGTTGTTTATGGTAAATGCAGCATTACTCAACTACAAACATGCATAGCCACAAATAAATTTAATATTGCAAACACACTTTTTAAGGTCTGCATTTAGCTGCACTTACCTGACTTAGGCTGCTGTCAGTGCATCCATTGTCTCGGCGTTGCTGACACCCAAAAGGTCCACTTTACACTCTTTCGCTTTCCGTTTAAAAGTCGCCGAGATGCTTTGATGAAAGTTGAGTCATCTGAAAAACACTTGATACCATCAAGGGTTCTACCAGCGCGCGACACCGTGACATTAACTTAAAAAAACACGAAACGTCCCAGGTAATTCACTTTTTGATTAAATATCCCCCACTACAAGTTTTTTTCTTTCTTTGAGCATCTGAACAGTTAAAAGCAGTCACAGTCCCGACCGAGTCGTAAAGCGACACGCCGGCTTCTAACAACAGCGACGGCCGAACATGAGTAAACTAAAAAAAAAACTGACTTAGAAAATGTTAAATCCTCGATTGAAACACACAGAGGCTTGTTAATAAACCACACACCGCGGGAAACCAAACGATACAAAGTAAAAACATTCCGACATCCTCCTTCCTTTCGCCTCCATCAGCTGGGCGGAGCTTGTGGCTGTCAGCCTGCTGTTCTAGCGCGTGCGTGTACAGTGCGTGCCCACAAACAAAGAGTTGATTCTGGGTTAGTTTAGTGCTTTTAAAGTTTATCCTTTAAGTAGATATTGTTTTGTTTTGAGTAATGTTTGTCTCCTGATAGCCGAAAACCTCGTCAAATTCAACCTTCTCAAAGTTACAGCTGATATGACGTCAACTGATGGCCTGATGCGCGTGCAGACTTGGGTTGAATCGGTGCGCGTGCAGCAGCTTGTTAACTCGCACTTCGTATCGTGTTTATGAGAAGTAGCCGTAATAGACTACTTTTATTTGTTTCATATGGTGTCGCAAATAAAATGATTACTTTTATATAATAATAATAATAATAATAATAATAATAATAATAATAATAATAATAATAAATAACATTATTATTCATTTTCATATTATTCATATTGTTGTTGTTGTCGTCGTCATCACCAGGTCGTGGTATCTGTCCATGAAAAATGCTATTTTATAGGCATTTGTTATTTATTTTTATAATAGATGCAAGAGTAGCCTATTATTCTATCAATTTGGTGCTAAAATACACTTTATGTCTTTAAAAATGTGATAAAAATTACAAGGCAATACACACGTGATGTCTGAATGGAAAACTATGCACTAACAAACGTCTGTCATTCATTCAATGGGGGGGGGGGGGGGGGGATGGTAAAATGAGAGTATTTACTACGTTGACACCGGTGCATTTTTAAATCCAGTAGCTGTCATGAGGTTTGAATGAATATTGAACAGTGATAAAGAATCTTTTTTTAATGCAAGAACTAAAAACAATTGCTGTTTGTCAATGAAACCGTAATAGACGGCTATAAAGTTTTACATTTGCAAGCAAAATATGTACCGTAATAAGATGTATCCTCTAAACTTTGTCAGTTTTTATGTTTTATATTCATGTTTTTATATTGTTTTCAGCCTCAAGGCTTCCCATGCACAAGAAGATGGCTCTGCCGTGTGAGAAAGTATCAAACAATCTGAATTAAGAAAACAGCTTTAAAAGATAGAACTAACACAACTGTTAGATTTTTTTTTTCTTTGCTCAAAGTGTTTTAGATTATCATGACCACCAGGGAGCAGCCTCACCACTTTTGCTGCCTGAAATCTAAAACTAATCATTCTTTTGCTTTTACCCAGTGACACCTTTAATGTTGTCTTGACTAAAATAGAAGTTCAGACTTGTAAGAAAGTAATTTTCTTTTTCAGCTATGTTTGGAGACCTGTCCAGTTCATAGTCATCAAGGATCTAAAGTGACAGAGAGAGTCGAGTAAAACCAGGGAGGATGAGGTTATATCAGGTGGACCAAATGGAGAGGAAGGAAGAAAAGATCTTGCAGCGATTCGTAGAGCCTGACAGGAGGGGGTGAGAGGTGTTGGGTGGAGAACAGAGTGAAGAAGAAAAAATATAAAAAGGGAACTATAACAGTTGATTAAGAAAGAAACAAAGTCTCCAGGTAAGTGTTTGTTTAAATTATTACATCAGTAAAAGCGACAATGGAATGGATTTTCTGGATTTTCTGTTGTTTTATGAAAAACACATCAAGGATTTTCTTCCTATAAGAATAATGACACAAAACATCAACGTTTTCTCTCGTTTTTCACATCAGCGGATGATTCAACCATGAACCTGAACTTGATGCTTGTCTTGATCCTCCATGTTTCCACTCATGCAGCCACGGTAAGTGTTCTTACTGTACATACCAATAATCACCCAAAGAACCACTTTATCCAGTTTGAAGTCAAAAACACAGAAGATCTTCAGGGAAAAATGCTTTCAGATCTTTGATCGTTTTCTCCTCCATCTTTCGAGTCGTTTCCTTCATTAGGAGTCTTTTGTCGTATCATTAAAGATGAAATTCCTGAGATATAAAAATGGTTCCAAGATTTTTGGTCACCTGTTTCACATTTGATCTGGTAAAACATTTGGGGGCAGATGTGGACCTGGCATCCACTACAAAGAGACTGGAAATGTAAGTTTGGGAATGGAGCAGATGTGGAGAAATGGATGTTGGACAGCATGTATGCAGTTTTAGTTTTATACTTTATGATGTCGTTTATGATAAGATTAGAACTTCTTGCCGTTAATTATTAAAGTAGTTCACAATTAAACTCAGTGCAGGTCTTTTTTATTTGTAGTGCAGAAACAAGTGTAGTACAATGTGTGTGTGTGTGTGTGTGTGTGTGTGTGTGTGTGTGTGTGTGTGTGTGTGTGTGTGTGTGTGTGTGTGTGTGTGTGTGTGTGTGTGTGTGTGTGTGTGTGTGTGTGTGTGTGTGTGTGTGTGTGTGTGTGTGTTTAAGGGAGGCAGAGCTCTGCGCAAGCAGAGACAAGCTGAGGAGACTCTGAAACCGTACATTGGGAGAGTGGAGCCAGGTAAGTCATTTTAACATTTAACAACTCTGTTTCAGACAAAACCATCCCACAAGTTCAAATAATGAAAATGACAAGAAAAATACGTAGGAGCAACACATGTATTTTTAGTGAAGTTAAACATCTTAGTTCACAAACACCACTGATTAGTTTCATGCCCAATTTAAAAAAGTCGAAAATAAAACATCAGATATAAAAAATGGGAAAATATTTTTCTAAAATTATATCGTAAATGTTTAACGCCTGTAATGAGTTAAAAACAATGACGTTTTTTCACCTGCATTTTAACCATTGCAATAATATTTCTATAGATCTTCAAATTTTTATCAATAAGCTAAAATTTAGAACATATATTTTAGACAAATCTTGTTTTAACACATTTCTGTCTCAACTTTGAAAAGTTGTCTACAAGCAGCCATTGACCTATACATCATTATTCATTTTCTTGAATGAAAAGTAGCTTCTTATGATACGTTTTAAACTATTCTGTTACATTCAACTAGTATCAAGGACAGAACACTAATTTAAAAGCTCAAAGTAAAGTTACCTAATGTTTTTATTGTGATTTCAGAAAAGCTTTGTGAGCTGCTGAAATGCCACAGTCCAGTGGGTTCTTGGTGCCAGGTGATTGAAGAAAACGGGATCCTCGTACCCAAATGTGTTTGTCCTCGCTCGTGTCCACGGTACTGGGATTAAAATCATAAAAACAGCAGCGAATCTGCAGACTGTCGTCTATATTCTCACATTTATTCTTGCATGTGGGTGCTGACATGTGCATTCAGGCAGAGGGCACCAGTGTGCAGCGTTCTGGGAAAGACCTATGGGAATGAGTGTTTGCTTCACAAAGAAGCGTGTAGGAAGAGACGCCGCACAGGACTGGCTCACACAGGACCTTGTCTGGGTAAAAGCACACAAAGCTTTCAGTGTGACACAGAATTTCCACACAGCTCTGCAGCCTCCCAAATCAACCCTGTTATTCCTCTTGATCAGTCCCTAAGGGTAAATGCACCAAGGAGGAGTTTGGCCAGTTTCCATACCGTCTTCTGGACTGGTTTCTGCTGCTGAGTCGGATGGGAGGGACCTACACACCTGAGGCCCCACCCCAGAGCTGCCTCAGCCACACCCACAGAGCACAGCTGGCAAAGGTCAGATTGTCTGAAGTTACCGTAAGCAGCAGATGAAATAAACCCATAAATGTGATTTATGACGTCAGCTAATGATGACACAATCAATATTCACAACATTTTAAACCAATAGCCGTAAGAGGAATAAACAAAGGGATCACTTTACATGTCAGCGTAACGTAAAGTTGTTTTTCACACCAGACACTCCCATCGTTTTATCAAGGGTCCTTCATGTGCATGATCAATATTAACAACCGACTGTAGGCGGTAAGTTCCTGTGTTGGATGTGGTGCGGTCGCCCGCGCGCTGAGACAGAACCTCTCTAAAGCATCAAGTATAAATTGGATCTGGTCAATAATCACTGAATTATTCAGTAGGATGATGAATGAGAGCTAACTTAACAACTCCTCTCCAGCTACTAAGACCTCCAAACTCAAACTCAAACCATTATTTGGGTGATATGATTGCAGATGGTTACTTTGTTCTTTTTGAGATCCTGTTATATCATTTTAAAGGCTACAGTTACTCTATTCTAAATCAACAACATGTTGATGTAGCATGGTAGCATGCCGATGTTAGCTAAAACTTCACTAACAAGGATTGTGCAATTTGTGCCTTTTTTTGCATTTCAAACAGGTTAAATAACTGAAATTTGCTTAATTTGCTTTGCTGTCCTTCAGCTTTTTCTCTTTTTCTCATTTTAGCAAAGATTCATGTCCTTGGACAAGAACAAAGATGGCAAACTGAGTCGCAGGGACCTGAGGAAGCTATATTACAAGAGGATGCCTCTGGAACACTGTGCCACGACATTTTTCAAGTGAGTCCCACGTCCATCAGCTAAAAAACAATTAAGAATGCAAAGTCCATCACATTACGAGCATAAATACATTTGTTTATGACCATTTTCATAGCAACAGGATGGTCATAAACCAGTGTGACCTCATGCTAGGGGTTTGGGGTGTCAACCTTCTGTCTCTTGCAATATGTTATTCTTCAGCTAATTACTAGAAGAGCAAGGTTTAAATATGTCACACAGAGATGCATTTCACCCCCGCTCTGATCAAGTTGCACCTCCCACCATGCTGTTCTCTCTGCACACCATCTATCTGTATATCCACCCCCTATGCCAGTCCACTTTTCTTGTGTCCTCCCCCTTACGGTTCTCACATGACAGCAGCATCCTTCCATTTATTTTCCTTCAAATGTTTGTTGAAGCTCATTAACAACTTCCTTCAAATGAAGATGGCTCTTTTTTCTGCCACCTTTATTCTCACTCTTTGGTCATTCCATCATTTTTGCATGTGTTCTTGTTTTTCTCCACCATCCATTCTCCCACCCAACCCCCCATTTCTCTGCTGGGTTCTTCAATAACAGGTTTAGTGAGAGCAGGGCTGCCCATGTCAATGTCAAGCCATTCCCGGCAATGATAATGTTTATTACCCATTGTGTCTCCCGCTGCTCATGGATAATAACAAATTGAAGGAGCACACGCCAGAGAAAACGCCACGTGGTGAACCGAAAGACAATGAAAGCCGTAGTAGAGCCTCAGTTCAGTTCGCCTCGTGCTGCGTTGGTGTCTCCATACGAATTTTGGTTTTGCATTCATTAGCTTGCATGCTTCTAAAAATTCTCCCTCCGCTTGGACGTGCCACATTTTGAGGTCACCATATTCTGCTGTGCTTGCAGGTCATGTGATCGTAACATGAACAAGAAGGTGACCCTGGGAGAGTGGACAGCCTGTCTGGTGGACCGCTCTGAGGCTTGGTTCTATCATTTCATGTGTGAGTCACCATTTTTAACCAGAATTGCTTAAATTGGTTTTTATACATGTTTTAAATTTTAATGCAGAGATGCAAATTATCAGGGTTATGTTTCTTATTTGAGAAGAACTTGCTGTTTTTATAGGTTATATTGTAACAATCTCAGCTATATCAGCAATGTTCAAATTAAGATTTTCCTTGAATTTTAATTTGGGAAATCCCAACTGTTCTTGTCTCTGACACCACAGCTAAATCAAATCAGTTTCTGCTTATTTCCCACAGCACAGACATATGCAGGCAACATATCATAATAAAATTATTTAAATCAATTCATGTGAATTTGAGTAAAGGATCACAGTGAAGGGCGACTGTTTGTCTACACAGATTGCAGGATTTGTTTTATTAAAAGAAAAAGTCGAGGTTTTCATTCATTCTTTTAATTTAAATGTAAATGCGGAATAAAAAAATGTGTATTTGTTTGATTAATACATTTGCAGTGGTAGGGCTGCGCAGTGGTTAGAGCTGTTGCCTTGCAGCGAGAAGGTCCTTCTGCCGTGTGGTGGTGTTGCTAATGCTAACGGTTAGCTTAAACTAGCTGAGACGTTCGCTGTTGATTTCTGAACATTAAAACAACAGCCTTCACCAACTGCACGTGTCAGGACGAACAACCAAATATCAGCTAGCTTCTGTCTTCAGAGGGGGACCAGGCAGGGATGCCCACTCTCCCCCTCACTGTTTGCTATCTTTATCAAACCACTAGCGGCAGCAATTAGGCAAACAACAGGTATTAAAGGGATAAACTGTAAGAAAATAGAACATAAGATCAGTCTTTATGCAGATGATGTTTTACTCTTTCTCCGGAATTCTCAATTCTCTCTCTCCCATTCAATAGAACTGATAAACTCTTTTTCAAAAGTTTCAGATTACTCTATAAACTGGTTAAAATCCACAGTTCTATCAATTAATTTCGCTTTTGTCAATTTTCTTAATACACAATTGGAGTCAGGGAATATCGCATACCTGGGAATTAATGCCTCTCCCAAGCTGGCAGATCTAACCAAACTAAACTACATCCCACTTTTAAAGATAGTGGAAGATGATCTTGCAAGATGGAAATCCTTACCGATATCAGTCATGGGGAGAGTTGCTACAATCAAAAAGATGGTCTTACCCAGAATAAATTACTTATTTTCAATGATCCCAAACAAACCACCAGCTGACTGGTTTAGATCTCTGGACTCCTCAATTACTAAATTCCTTTGGCAGGATAAACCTCCACGAATTAGCTTAAAAACGCTTCAGAAGACCAAAGACAGAGGAAGACTGGATCTACCCAACTTTTATCATTATTTCTTAGCCAACAGGCTGCAATATATACCAAGATGGTTGCAAGATAACCCACTAGATGAGTCTTGGTTAGACATAGAACAGACACTTTGCAACACTATAGAGCTTTCAGACTTACCATTTATTAGCTCAAGCATAAGAAAACATGAAGGCTTCAAAAGTATTTGTATCAGCACCTCTCTGACAGTGGTGGGAGTATCTAAAAATGAAAGTCTCTTCACTAGTACGATGCAGACGCACACCTATCTGGAATAATCCTGATATTTTGCTAAATAATAAAATGATGAACCTTCCGGACTAGAAAAATAAACTAATCCTATACCGGGAACAGATATTTGAAGGATTGGACTTCATCCCATTTAATAGAATAGTCTCACAATTTGGAATAGATAAGAATAGCTTCTTAGAATACCACCAAATTAAATCTGTAGTCAAACAAAAATTTAAGCTCAATAAAATAGAATTACAAACACCACCAAGGGTATTAGACTTCTATAATCTCAAACCCCCCAAACTACTGTCTAAAGTATATAAGACACTGTCCAAAATAGACGATAGAATAGCAATCCCTATTGAAAAATGGGAGGTGGATCTATCAGTCAGCTTTGACCAGAACTTCTGATCCCAAACTTGTTTAAAAACTTTTTAAATGATCAGACACTCCAATTTACAATTAATTCAGTACAAAATTTTACACAGAGTACACTATACAGATCATCGGATGTTCAAGATGGGGTTTGTGTCGTCTGACACCTGTACACACTGCACAAACAACATTCCTGACAATTACATTCACGCACTGTGTTCCTGTCCATCTGTCCAGGAATTTTGGGGTAGAGTATGTGAAGACCTGTCAAAGTCTCTGAAATGTCATATCCCAACCACCCCCTTTCTTTGTTTACTGGGAAACCTGGACGATGTCCTGATTGAAACATCTTTGGCTTACGTGGTTCTGACTGCCATATGCATCGCTAAGAAAATTATCCTCTTGAATTGGAAAAATAGAGATACTCTTTGCATCAACCAGTATAGAAATCTTTTGTTAGATCATATTACACTTGATTTAGCCTCTGCTTCCACTTCAAATCAATCTCTCTGGGCTCCTTTGATCGGTTCCATCACATAGCGATGATGGGGGACCATTGATATTGTCCTGCGGGATGATGTGGGTGAAGGGGTGGAAGGTCCGAGTTTGGAGTATCTGGACATTCCTTGGAGGTGGGTTCACTGGGGGTGTCTGGGACTGGAGGGCCGTTGCCCCCCTCTGGAGGTGCTTGGGTTGCCTTGGGGGGTGGACTACTGGCAGTTGTGAGTGGGGCCCCTTGAAGGTCTTGGCGGCGGCCATGGGTTACTGCCTGGCAGCTGCATTTCCCCTGGGCGGGTCTGGGTGGGGGCCTGGGGGCTCGGGGTGTGGGGGTGGCCGGCCCCGTGGGGGGATCTGGGCGGGGCCTTGGGGGTTGGGTCCTGACATGTATGCTGCCGAGGTAGAAGGCAGGAACATGCAGCAGTGCCTGACTCTGGTTCAGGGGCCTCAGGTAGACCTTGGCTCCTCTGCTGTCCCATCACAGGGGAGGGGGAAGTCCAGGAGGGGGAGGACCCAACCTTATCTGGATGTCCTATGTCTTTTATAGTCCGGAAGTTGTGCAAATACAGGGATGGGCGTAGATATTCTGCTGGGGTGGGGCTGGGTTGGTGCCCTCGGACTCCGTGAGGTTCTGTGATGCTTCTGCTTTGGGCCCTGGCGAGATGGGCTGGGGTCTCCATGCTCTGGGTGGCATTTTGACAACGGAGGTGCCTATTGGGGCCAGTGGGGGAGCTGGCTCCCTGGAGGGCTAAGCCCAACTAGCCATTCCTCCCCATCTCCACACATTTCTCTCCTCCTGCTCCCTCACATCATCACACAAACATGCACATAGGACCTTGGGGGTGGACAAGCCAGGGAGTTCTGGTATGGACCCCATTTCCGCATTCCTGTGGCAACTTCCCCCCAATTTTATCTGCACCTTAAACATTTTCACCAACGACATTCCACGCAAACACACACTTAGGGCCTTGCGAGTGAGCACATCCAACGGCATTTGGCAGGGGAATTTCTCAGCCTCATCCCAAGTGCCGGTGCTCACTTCCAATTTTAAACTGCACTTAGACACTAAGGGCTGTGGGTGCACGTGGGGTGGTGCGGTGGCATCAGCTGGCATAGGCCAGATGATGCCTGCACTGCCCGCTCACCACAGCCATGGAATACACCTCATCAACACTCACTAACACCATATTCGAGCAGGCGGAGGGAGACTAGGGGTCTTAGCAAACCTCTGTTGTTGCTTGGCTTCCTGGGGCTGGAGGCTAGGAGGGAGATCCTGCCGTCCGGTTGGGGTCTGGGGTGGTGGATTGCTGTGCTCAGCATCTGGCGGGGGAGCCTGCTCATCAGCACCCCAGCAGAAAGGGTCGAACTCTTGGAACCGGTAATGGGTGTACCCCATTTGCAACAGTACCGGGACCAGAGTGAATAGGGTGTGTATGGGGAGCATGAGTGGGTGTCCGGCGTGCATTTTTGTAAGTCTTTGGTTGTATGTGTATGTGTGAGCATGAGGGAGGGAGTGTGTGACTGTGTTTGTGTATGACTGTATATGTCAGGTGGAGCCTTTGACTCCTCCCATCTCCTGGGACTTCTTGTGATGATATAGATCTTCGTCTCCCCTCTCCCTGCTACCCCTGGTGTGGAGTGTGGTGCCTTAGTCTGCCTGGGTCGTGGTTCCCGGGTCAGGGAGTTTAAGATTTTTGGCATCTGCCTGACCAATCCCTGTGGCTGCCTGGTGGGTTCTGGGTCCCTGGGCTCTGCTGGGTCCCCAGCGGGGGTGGTCACCCCTGGGTCCCGGGTCATTGGGTCCCGGGCTCGGCCGTCTAGGGGGTGGGAGGCTGCGGGCAGGCCTGAGGGCTTTCCGCCGATATCTCCCTGGACTCTGCCAGCTGCTGGTTGTGGGCCCCCAGGGCGATACACTGCACCTCTCGAGGGGAGCGGGGGCTTTTCTGGTCGCAGTCTCCCTGGAGTTCCTGTGCTCTGGGGCAGCTCCTGGATCTCTGGGACTTGGAGCTCCCACCGTCTCCTGCACATCTTTAGGGGGCAGATCTGTGGCCCCTCACACTCTCTATTGGACGCTCCTATAGAGAAACCTTACATAAAAAAAGTGCGTGTACACACACAGGTGCTCACATGGTGCTCTCATAAGTATGGACTTGGGCATGTTCAACACAGGTCTGAAGGCTATGGTGGGCACTTACTGCACTGTGATTTATTATTGTGTGATTGTTCAGTAAAACAAAGTTGATTATATATTTCTTCATCAAGTTGACGCAGTGATAGCTTGATCTAACCCCCCCCCCCCCCCCATCTTTTGTCTCTTCCTTTCTCTTTCACCTCTGTCTCCGTGTCTGGTCGGAATTAAAACGCATTCAATAACAATAAAGTTTTAAGTATCAGGCGTGACATTAAAAGCAGACGCTTTGATGCTCCACCTGAGACTTGTCAACAGCATTCAGACATCAATTCTGTTTGCTTCACAGCCAGACAGGACACACACACAAAAAAAAACAGCCTTCCCCGTCGTGAGTCAATATGGGTGAGTCCATGGGTTCAGAAGCAAAGAGATAGGTGTAGGAGTCTACTTTCATGTTCA